TATATATGCATCTGCCTTGCCTCCGCTGCACAATATAAGTCTTTGAGACTAGGGACTTTTGTTTTTCCATCGTTGGCTCTCTGCCCCACTCCTACCCCAGCTTTCCCTTTAAACTGACAGGAGGACAGAGGAGTCCGATGTTTGGTATTCTGCAGCCCCAGGCCCAGCTGGCCCACAGTGGGCGGGACAGGGCATGGGCTCAGGGAGTACTGGACAGATGACTGACGGGACAACAAATGAATAAGGCACTGTAAGAATAAATGGACTTACCATGAGTTGTTTCAAATCTGCTCTCTCCGCGGGGTTTTTTATTAAGCTTAAAGGAAGAAAGATAACGTGAGAGCTATTGCCTGCACTGGTTCCAACTCAAATTACTTATGTTTACATGCCTGTCCTCCCTACACACTACAGGCTCTGAGGAGCGCCTGAGCCTTTCTCATCTTCCTGTTCTGAGCACAATGGCATGCCCGTAGTAAGCTAATAAATACCTTGCCAATTTAAAGTTAAAAATTAGTATGCCAATCCCCGTAGAGCAAGTGCCGAAAGCAGTAGCTATCTTTTTTTTTTTAACACAGAGTCTCACTGTGTTGCCTGGGCTAGAGTGCCGTGGCATCATCCTAGCTCACAGCAACCTCAAACTCCTGGGCTCAAGCGATCCTTCTGCCTCAGCCTCCCAAGTAGCTAGGACTACAGGCATGCACCACCATGCCCGGCTAATTTTTTCTATGTAATTTTAGTTGTCCGATTAATTTCTTCCTATTTTTAGTAGAGACGGGGTCTCGCTCTTGCTCAGGCTGGTTTCGAACTCCTGAGCTCAAACAATCCGCCCACCTCGGCCTCCCAGAGAGCTAGGATTACAGGCGTGAGCCACCGCACCCGGCCGCAGTAGGTAGCTTATCCACTGCTGTAGTCAGACACGTAAGTCTTGGCACTCTGCAAGAAGGGCTTATGGTAGCAGCCAGGGGGTAATCAGATGGGCGGGGAACTGTGCCCAGCAGAGGCAAAGCTGGTGCTTTGAGAGATGGGGTGGGGAGCCTGACAAAGACTTACCATTTATTCACAAAATCTTGAAATTCCAGACTGAATACTCCACTGGGCAGTTTTGGAGGAGGCTGCAAACACATGTCAGGACGTGAGAAATGTCTGGCTCTGCACTCTAGCCATCTCTCCCCATCCCACCCCTACCTCTGGGCAGTGCTACCCTTATCCAGACAAAGAAAGGCAGTGGTGGAGGCCAACAGCTGCCCGCTGGGTCACCGTGTTGGAACCACTGTCTCCCACAGTTAGAGCTGGGAGCAGGTCAGGTGTAGAGTTACACCACTCACTTCTCTCTTCCTCTCTCAGCCTCATTTACTCTCCTATGAGATGAGGAGGTTGGGCCTAATGAGCTCTGCGACCCTTTCAAACTCTGATACTCTACAGTGTCAAGTGAGGCGTGGAAATGTAACCAGCAATACTAGCAGCAATAGCTAGGGGGATTCGCAAACCACCAGGCATAGCTCAGGCTCAGGCCTGACAGCGCCTGCAGAAGCCAGCCAGCAAAAAAACACAGACGCACACACAAAAAAACCTTTTCTGAGCCCTGAAGAGGCCAGAGAAAGGTTAATAAAACACTAACTGGCAGAGGGCTGGGTCTAGAAGAATGTTACCTGTACACTCCCAGAATGAGGCTGTTTTCACACATGAGACTGAGAACACTGGCAGCAGCTCTTGCTTTCCCATGGTGATCATGCAGCACTACACAGAACAAGGCCCTGGAGCACAAGGCTCATGGCGTTCCACACAGTTCCAGGAAATGTGAGCCCACTTATGTGACCTGTGTTGGAAGCTGTATGTAGCTTCCTTGTGAGAAGCTGACCCCCAGACACTGTCCAGGATGCCACTGCTCTGATGTATAGCCCCAAATCAACAGGGGATTCAAGACTAAAAATGAAGCACTGACAACCTCTACCAATAAGCCCAGCCTCGCCTTCTTCTCTGGAGGCCACCCTGTCAGCCTGATCAGAGGTCAAGGACTAGATCCCAGCTCTTAGGAACCGTGGCCCAGAGCCAGCCCCGCCCTGCAGACTGTCCCTGCTGCTGGAGGAATGAAGGGAAGTTCAGGGGAGAGAGAAGGCCAACAGCTTGGGCTCCAGAGGTGGTGTCCATCCCTTCTGAGTAGGAGGGAGCCAGGCAAGGGAGGGGCTGTGTGCTAGCAGAGGCTGGGTGGATCACCTGCGCTAGCCCTGCCCTATCCTCCAAGCAACCCTGGTGCTTGTCTACAGTTTCCCACTCCCCAGCCCCAAATTTGATGAATAATTGTCAGTCTCTTCCTTCCTTGATCCTTTTTTCATTTAAATATACTGGTATACTGGTATTTATATTTCACAAATAATAATTAAAGCCAACCAAAAACAAGCAAAAAAAATTTTTAATTACCTATAATTTCATCACTCGGAAATAACCACTATTATTTTATCACTTTTCAGACTTTATATGCACATACGTGCATAGATTTTTTTAAAAGAATTGGTCACAGTGTACATAGTATTTTGTAATCTGTTTTCAAACAATTACAGTGAATACATTCCATATCTATTTCTAAATTCCTTTGTATGTTCATAGCTTTTTAATGGCACTTACAAGCAAAAACCCTGTATTGCAGTTATATATGCATCTGCCTTGCCTCCGCTACACAATATAAGTCTTTGAGACTAGGGACTTTTGTTTTTCCATCGTTGGCTCTCTGCCCCACTCCTACCGCCACCCCACAGCGCTTAGCACATTGTAAGTGTGAGAGAAAGTTTGGTGAATGAAGGCACAAGAATGTAGATGGGCAAGCTGGAGGCTCCTGGGTTTTGGAAAGGAAGAGTAACTCAGAGCTGCCTGAAGATGTCCTCTGGGGAAGGGACTCCTGCAGTTTTTCTAAACCAGCCACTCAATTCCAAAAGCATGATGCACACACCAGAACACAAGAATGCTGGAGTCCAAATTGTAGAAACAACTCAGGTTTCCCAGTCAACCCAGCCATGGGTATTTTCTCAAAAGCAACTAATAAATTCCAAGGTCAAGGAAACTAAGCAGTACTTACCTCATTGACTATGTAATCCAACAACTCAAAAATCGCCATGGGAGGTCGGCTGTCCATTCCATATGCTACAAATTTTATAAAAAGAAAAAAGGAAACACTTCTCAGAAACAGATTACCTGTCAATATGAGGCAAGGGGTTGGGCATGGACCCCGGGGACCAGAACATGGTCACAGAAGATAAACAGAAGAGCCACATATAATGCGTGAACACGGAAGGGACCCACAAAGTCCACAGAGTCAGCTGGCCAGGGAAAGAGTCTGGGCTCTGCCACAATCCTAGGTTTGTGACCTTGGGCAAATCAGCTGACCACTGAGCCAAAGTTTCGAATTCTGTAAGGCAGAGATAGATAATAATTATGCCCGCCCTTCCTTATATTGAGAGAGGAGCAAATGAGATGACTAAATAACTGAAGAATTTAGCTTTAATTATCTCTGAACTTGAGTTTCCTCCTTTCGTATCCCAGAGTCACACGCCAGCCCCTGCAGCAAGGAACTGCATCATCCATCCCTGGCCCCGCTGTTTGTCCCTCAAACGCGCCCTTGCCCGTGTGGACCTCATGGAGTTAAAGACCAGGTCTCCCCAGCCGGACAGGAGCCTCCGGGCAGGAACTACATAAAAAGATGACAGCTAGGTCAGAATATTCCGAGTACCAGGCTTACTTCACAGTATCCACATTCAGAGAGGCAGGCGGAACTGTACAGCGTTACCACCTTAGGAGTCGGACTTGGCCACCTGCAAGCACACGTGGCCTTCGCAAACTGAGTGCTCTGCACCTCAGTTTCCTCATCTCTAAATTGGAGCTGATGACAGTGTTCACAGATGGAATGCTACTCCAGTTAGATAATGCTAGGCAAATCCATGGAGACAGAAAGTAGAGGAGTGGTTGTCAGGGGATGGGGCTGGGGGAAGTTGAGAGGTAGGGAGGGTATTTCTTTCTGGGGTGATGAAAATATTCTAGAATGAGACAGTGGTGATGGTTGCACAACATGGAGAAATATACTAAAAACCACTGAACTATATACTTTACAATGTGAATTTCGTGTTATGTGAACTTTATATCTCAATAAAAAAAGAATCTAACAAAAAATGTCATGACTTACAAAATAAATTAGATAATGTATATGAAGTGCTAAGTGCAGTACCTAGAACATAATAGGTACCCAACAAATGGTAGGAAGTTGTTGGTAGTAACAATAATTTCCTGTATCCATCTGGAGACCCCTGCTGCTTCCCTACCCCAACCCCACCCCCCCACTGCCCCAGCCCCAGCCTGGCATCCAGGGACAGAGAATCAGCCCTCCAGAAAACCCTGATAGTAAGGGACCCCCCACAGTCCAAGTTGGAGACACACCAAGCCACTCACCGCTGAGGGGCCTCCCAGGGGTTCTTGGCCTGGGTGGGGTCTCAGCTGCATCTCCCTCCACGTGGCATCCAAACATCAGCTCCAGCTCCTTGGCATCTGGAGGAGGGATGGGATACCTCCCAACCGCCATCTCCACCAGAGAGAGCCCCATGCTCCAGATGTCTGACTGCACAGAGTAATGAGTCCCTTGGAGTCTTTCTGGCTGCAAGAGAGACAGAGACACAGTTATAACCACTTGAGCTAACCAGGACCCCCGGGTCTGCTAATGCACTTTCTCTTCTGTCTCTTGTCAACAGCTCACGTCATGTCTCAAGAGCTCCATTAACCTCTTAGATTTGGCCTCCCACCTGCCCCAAAACATTGTTGCTTACCAAATCCTAGCTGGCTCCCATGGCTCTGACCCCTCCCCACTGTTCTATCTCCCCTGCAACCTGCCCTGAACTGACAGCCTCCAATCAGGTGGGCCTGGCTGCCACTTCTGCCTGTGGTTGCAGCTTTGCCCAGCCCGGCTACTGTCTTGCACGTGCGGGGCAGCCCAGGGAAAGCCTAGCATGAGAGGTTCATATCTTGTCACCCGAGTCTGAAACATAAAGCTTGTGAAATGTGGGTCACGAATGAGGTGGTGCAGTGGGTACAAAGTGGGTCAGGAGACCTGGTTCAAGTCCCAACTCTGGGATGTATAAGCTACGAGATCCTGAGTCTTAGCCTCCTCATCTATGAAATGGGGCTGCTGGTGATGGCAATAATACTAAGAATGACATTAACTCTACCCACTAGGGTTCCTGAAAAAGTCAATCAAATGAAAATGCATGTTAGGTGTTGCAAAATGCTCTACCAGTATGAGCTGATATTGGTGGGAAGTCAAAGAGAAATAAGTACAATATACAATGCTATACCAAAACACTATTTTTACTGAGCATTATTTGAACAGCACATATATTTCAAGAACCCTACAAAAAATCTATTCCAACCATAGTATGTTTATTTAGAGATTAAATCAACTTCTCCCATAGGATTTTTCACTAACTCCAACACTGGACTGTTTTGGAATTGACCATATAACCACAAAAACCCCAACCATTAAACCCTTGATCAATAAGTCCCAGGGCCTATTAACTGATTTTGAACTTGAGAGTTGGCAGTCAAGTGGCCCAGGGTGCCAGCTGCTCAGTTATTAGACATTTAGGGAAGAAGCAATGAGAAGGTGACAGGGAAGGAGTGGAAGAGAGTTCCACCGTGGGTTACTGGAGGGCAGGGGGGTGGGGATGTGGGTCAGCACCAGGTGAGTGATGCTGACAGTGGCTGGAGTCACCAAGGGGTTAGGGGCAAGAAGGAACAAGGATGTGGACATAAACCTTCACACAGGGATGCAGGGACAGCTGCCAAATCGTCGAGAAGAGGCAAGTGAGGGCATGTGACGCAAAGGCCATCTGCCTGACTAGGAGGCGGCTGGCTTTCAATCCTGGCTCAGCAAGGCTAAGTAGGCAGGTCACGTAACCTCCCTGAATCTAGATTTCCTCAACTCTAAAATGGGAACAATAATCTTTATTTCACAGGACAACCGCATGGATCAAATGAGATCTTTCAAGGATGTGAAAGTGCTTTTACAGACAACACATAAAACATTCTGTACATGTTAAGATCTCCTGAGCCTCTGCCCCTGTCCTGGCGCCATCCGGGCCTGCCTTACCGCCACCTCCATGAAGATCACCCACCCACTCCAACACTCTCTGCTCTGCCTCCCGGACTCACATTCCCAATCATTCTTAGGACATGCCATCCACGTACCCACCCATTCAGTCAACCAAACATTCACCCACTTGCCAAGCATTCCCCGAACACCTACCACGTGCCAGGCCCCATGCCAGACCCTGGGGACAAGTGTGACCTACGGCCTAGTCCCTGACCCCAAGAAGCTCATCATATGGAGGAAGGAGGAGAACATGCTGATGGAGTGGGGACAGGCACACACAGCGCTCTAGCAGCAGTGGAAGCCAGTAGAGTTGGGGCAGGAGGGAGGACCCCCCAGGACAGCGTATTGGCTGAAGCACAGAGACCCCAGCTAGGGGACCGGATAAGCTGCAGTGAGAGGCAGGGGTAGGTGACTGGGAGACGTAGTGAGGCAGGAGAAAAGAGGCTGGAGAATTCTGAGCAAACTCTCAGGAGCTGGGGGATACAAGATGCTGAAAGGATGGGGAGCTGAAAAGAGGGTTTCAAGTGAATGCTCCGGCTCCTACCTTGGGAAAACAGAGAGACAGTGATGCTATTTACTGCTAATGGGAAGGGAGAAGCTGGGAGAGGTTGGGGTAGGGTCATGTCTGAGCACTTGGGGTCTGAGGGTCTGAAGACAATCCGGGAGAGACGTCTAGAGGGTAGCTAGGGCTCACAACCTCTTGAGCCGCGCTCTGAAGCTGAGATCTGCAGTCTCTTTGAGTTAAGGCCCCAAAATCCCAATTATGCTCCAAGGCCCAGCCTAGACCACCCCCACTGGACTTCCACCTCCTCAGGAGGACCACTATCCCTCATCCCTCGTTTCTTGGGCCCACCCAGCACAAGACTCTGGCTCTACAGGGAAGGCACTACTCATGGGGCTCCTATCCCTGGCCAGGAGAGCAGCTCAAGAGATGGAACCTGCTGTTCATACCGACATGTAGGACCTTGTGCCCACGAAGGAGTTGGCCATGGAGTCGATGAGCTGCCCGCTGACCCCAAAGTCACAGAGCTTGATCTCCCCACGGGAGTTGACTAGGATGTTGGAGGGCTTGACATCTGCAGGAAAGAGAGAATAGAGAAGTAGGGAATTGGCACCGGTAGACAGGGAAGGGGCAGCACTCTGGATGGACAGACCAGCCCTGACCACCAGCCCCAGGATCACACCCCCAGCCCCATCAGAGGCAGCCCTCGGCCAAAAACACTGGATACCAAGGCCCCTTAACCCTTATTTAGGGTCCAGGAAAGGACAGTCAGGAGATGAAACCCCCAGCTGATGTAGAAGCAGGACAGAAAGCCAGTAGATTTCCACCCTTTGAGAATGCAGACTTGGCCAGATGACCCATGGGAAGGAGTCAGTTATCAAGAATAGTCAAGATTTCAAAGTTTGTTTCTTCAACCAACCCTACTGGCAAGACACAGTATCTAATGGCTGGATCATAAAGGAGACAGAAAAATCCAAATAATAAGACCTATATGCTTGCCGAGGCTATAAATCAAAGGCTAAAAGGGGGTGGGGTAGGAGCAGGAATTCCTACTGTTGAGCTCTCTGCACCAAGCACAGAGCATGTGGTTTTAGGAAAATGTGTGGCCAGGGTGGAGATGACTGGTGATTCTCTCCCACTGAAGTCACTCACCGAACAGCCTACACAGCTCCATCTACCGTTAATCAAGGGGAGCCCCTGGCTACCATAGGCCCTCAGGAGGCCCGACAGCTGCTCCTCAGAGTCATCCCCCTTCCCTGCACTCATATTACCACCCCACCTGGTCTGCCGTCACCAGCACTAGTACACTGGCCTCTCCTTTGCAGAGAGACATAAACTTCCAAATGGTTTTTCTTTCACCAGCTCTTCTGATTCACACAACCGCCCTGTAAAGTGCACAGACCAGGGCCGATTACCTCATTTACAGGTGGGAAACTGAGGTTGGGATTGGTAGAGGTCCCTGGACCAGGGTGCTGTGGGCAGACATCAGCAAACAATGAGAGACCCACTTTGAGGGCTGGCCACATCCAGTGGCAAAATCCTAAACCATGACAGGGAATCTTTAATAGATGTAACATAGACACTATATAGAACAGCTAGGAAATCGGAGGAAAAACCCAAGCTATCCATAATTTCAACCTACCAGAGCCAAATGAAAAAACATTTCATCATTTTTTCTCCCTCAGTACTCTTTCATATGAATGTGTTCATTCATTTTTCTTCTTTTTTTTTTTTTAAGAGACAGGGTCTCACTCTGTTGCTCCTGTGTTCAAGTGATCCTCTTGCCTCGACCTCCCAAGTCCCATGCCTGGCTATTTATTCCTAAACAGATTCTGAGAGGTCTATTTAAGTACCTTTCCAAGGATAAATTGAAAGAAAAAAAACAAACCCACACTGTCATATCCCAGTGAGTCCCTCCCCTGCCCCACCTTCACCTGGCCCCTCATTAGCTCCAGCCTCTCTCCACTTGCCATCGGCTCCAGGAGCAGGGACCTTGGCTGTCCGCCTCGCCACTCTAAGCTCTGCACGAGAACAATACCTGGTACGGCAGACACTCCAAACACCTTGTGGAAGGAATGAATGGCTCTAAACTCACCACACACACACGCACGCTACCACGCACACACACAGCCACTGGTGTGGCCTAAGACCCAGCCCTCATCACGTCATCCCACCCCCACCCCCGGGGCAAAACCAAGCCAAGCCCCTCAAGAAAGAACAAAAGAACGAAAACCTTCCCAAACCCTCCGGAAACCCCGCCCCTACATGCAGACTTTCAAAGCAGAGCTGCCAGAGTAGCTTTAGAGGGTGTGTGGTTCCAACTCTTCATGAGGGACATGAAAAGTCTAAGGCCCAAGGGGTCGAATAACTTGTTCAAGGTCACACAGCAAAAGCTGGGTAAAGCTGGAAGCAGAACACAGGCCCTCGGACACCTAGAACTGCCCTCCTTCCTCCACCTGCCCTGCTGCCATGCCCCTCAATAGTCTTGTCAACTACTGTTCACTGAGCACCTACTACGTGTGGGCACCGTGCAGCCACCAGGCAGACAGCAGTCAACAAACTCAGCAGTCCCCATTGTCATAAGGTTTAAATGTTAGAGGAGGAGACAGACGATAAACAAACTGAACAAACGTGTAACGTCAGGTGGTGTTGAGTGGCACCAAGAAAATAAAAATATAAAACCACGTGAGGGCACAGCACAGGAGCGTGGGGGTGCTGCTGTGACAGGGTGACGAGGGCCAGCCCTGTGAGGAGAAGATGCCGGGCGGCCTCCTGGGAACTATGCAGAGATTCCAAATTCGGGAAGTGAGGGGCTGACTTTGTCCTTTGCCCAGCCTAGTGTTGGGACATGCCGCCCGACGAACACTTTCTGAGTCCGGCAGCTTGTCAGAGGCACTCGTCCTCATCCGACCATGCCCACAGCCCCTCAGAGGACAGACGCCTGGCCCCCAGAAGTCAGGTGTTCAGGATGTGGAAAAGGGTGCTGAGAATAGGAGGAGCCTGGGACAGCGCCTGCTGGGCCTGGGGGCAGCACACAGGGGCGCTCCAACAGGAACCCTCTTCCACACCTCCCCCGAACGCTCACCTCACCCGCCCCAACGCTCCCCATGGCCTGTTTAGGCGTTACCTACCAGGCTTCGTTTTAGAGCAAAAGAGCAGCACTGGCTAATGAGACCGGAGACTCATGTTCAAATCCTGGCCCTGCCGCCTGCTCTGTGAACGAGTCTTCACCTCTCTTCTCTGGGCTGTGGTTTGCCCATCACAAGATACAGCCCAGGATCAATGTAACGAGCTGTGGCAGGTAAACAGCACACGATCTTACAGAAGTGTGAAGAACGATCATTTCACAGGTTGCCCTCCAAGATGAGCAGTTCACAGATCTCTTCCCAGCAGAGCGCAGCCCCCTCTGCCTGAGCCGGGGGCTCCTGCCTCTGCTGGCTCAGACACTTCTCTCCAGGCTGCAGCTGCTGCTCAGGCCTGGCTGCGCTGTCTCTAGCCGTCCTTGTATCTGATCTTTATTCACATGGCAAGTAAGCCTCCATTTTCAAACTTACATAACACTGTTTTCCTCCATCCTGGCTGTCAGCTCTGGCTTCCCCCACCCGCCCCAGGGAACACCACTGCCTGGGAGGCTGCAGAGATGGAAGGGGCTGGGGAGGAGGAGAGGGGAAACCCTGAGGGGCTTTTCACTGGTAGGACCATGTCAGTTCTGGGAGCCAGATGCACCACTCACATCCCTTCCTGGTGACCCAGAGGGCCTCACAAGGAGAAGCCACTTGGAGACCTGGGCACACCACATCACTAAACTCCAGAGAATGCTTCTGGAGCTACTAGGCTGGGACATGCTCCCCACTTCTCTCCCCCACCACCACCACCAAAGCTCCAGCCAAGCCCAGCTCTTCTCTGGAGATGGAAAAACGGTATATGAGGCCAGAGAGAGTACATTTCCTGATCACTGCTGGCATCCTGCACTTGCTCTTCCCACAATAGCCAGCCCCTCCCCACACAGTTTCTGTCCCCAGAATGTTCCCCCTCCACTCTGTCTGCACAGAAACCAGTGGGACAGCCTCTGCACACAGCCTGCCATGGCTCCCATGTGCCTTAGAGCAGTCCCAGGCCCCTCTGCCCGGCTTTCCAAACCCTTCACTATTTCTTCCTCACCTCTCCAACATCACACCCCAACACGTCTCCACATCCTCCTCCTCCTGGGTCAGGTGGCCTGCCTCTCTAACTGCCCATGACACTTCCTGCGCTGGGCCCTGTATCTAAAATGTCCTCCTTTCTACCCAGCCTCTCCCCTCTATATCTAGGTACCTAGTTCTTCTGAGTCCCCTTCCCAATGTGATACTGCCTCACCCCCGGGGTCCTGAGAGGTTTAACTGGGCTTTCTCCCACATTCTCCTAGCAGAGCCCTCAAATGTTCAACCCACAGTCCCTTTCTACTTCCCAAGACCCCCTCCAGGCCTTGGGTTCTCTTTCTGATCCTTCGATATCAAGAGGGTGATGCTGTGAAGAGCCCCCGCAGGCTGCAATCTGGAGGAAGCATCAACCACCCACTAGATTCCCAGGCTGACAGGCTCCCCTGGGAACTGTTAGGTCCAAAGCCCAGAGGGAGACACATGAAGCCTCGGGTGGAGCAAAATGCTGTTTATCGGAGCATCTGGGTACAGATTGGTGGAGGCCAAAAAGAGCGCCCGCCCCAGGAAGGGGAGAGCGGTGGGTTTTATAGGAGGTTTGGATGCAAGTTTGGGGAGGGCAAATTTTTTTTCTGAATGTTAACCGGTCCGGTTCCGCAACCGTCTGTGGTCAGAGTTAGATTTACAACCTCCAGACTCTCCAAACTCCTGCACCTATTGTTTTACAGGCCTTATGATCCCTATCTAAGTTTTCCATTAACCGCCTTCTGTCCTATACATTCTTTCCGGGTTCCCACCCTGAGCAACCTAACAAGAACCCCCACAGGATGCTGAGACTTGATACCCCAATCCTGCTCCGCTACTGCAACAATGAGCATGGGCAACCCCTTCTTCCTCAACAATGAACAAGAAGGTTTTGTGAAAAACTAACTAGAAGAAAGTATTTTCTTCTCTGGTATCTTCTGCCCTAGAAATAACCACTGTTCAAAGCCTCGATTTTGGCCGGGTGCGGTGGCTCACGCCTGTAATCCTAGCACTCTGGGAGGCTGAGGCAGGAGGATCTCTTGCGGTCAGGAGTTCAAGACCAGCCTGAGCAAGAGCAAGACCCCGTCTCCACTAAAAATAGAAAGAAATTAGCTGGACAACTAAAATTGCAGAAAAATTAGCCGGGCATGGTGGCACATGCTTGTAGTCCCAGCTATTCGGGACGCTGAGGCAGTAGGATCGCTTAAGCCCAGGAGTTGGAGGTTGCTGTGAGCTAGGCTGATGCCACGGCACTCTAGTCCGGGCAACAGAGTAAGACTCTGTCTCAAAAAAAAAAAACAAAAAAACAAAAAACAAAGCCTCGATTTTTCTCTCAAGAGCACACATCTTTAACTACTAAGCATTTTTACTCTTAAACAAGATGTTTGGATAAAATAATTCAGGGGGTTGTTTGTGTATTCTACACACACTTACAGAGAATTCCTGTACCATGCTATGCTACGAGTAAAAAGGAAACAGTCCCTGTCCCTGTACTCAAGGCTGTCACCACCAGGGGAGTAGGAATCCAAATATCAGGAACACGTGCACACATGTGTGAT